AATATCATTTCAACTTTATTCTGTTTACCCCACTGTTTGATATTAGTAGAAATGTCACTAAAGGGTCTGTTTAAAAAATAATTCCATCTTATTTCTGAAGCAAAGTATTCAAACTGAATGTTTAAAGTTTGCTAATTCTAGAATTATTCACTCAATAAAGCTGACAAGTAAAAAAAATAAATGGTATTGGGATAAATTACTGAGGCATGTAGTTTATGACTCCAAATTCATCCTCCCATCTTGTGTTCTGAAATTTTATCATTCTGGGTCATATCTTTGGTCAACTCTCATAAGAAAGCTCTGCAAGTGGCATACTTGATAAAGCAATCTAAATAAGCAATGTATTCTAGAGGAAAATGCATATTGCAAACCTGAAATACCAGATATTATAAGTTGAGACCTACAGGTCTCTCAAAGAACGGCACTGGTCTTCTTTGGTAAGACACTTATGCATATTAAACAGTTTTACCACCTGGTTTCTTAATAACAACACCCTTTATAGGCTCTTGTGTGGGATTTTTGCATGTTGACCTTTCCAAAAGATAGGGTAATTTTTTAAATTAACTCAAAAAAACAAAAGCACGTGGGGTACACTAAAACGTATAATTTTAAAAAAGCCAATTTCAATAAGATTATTATTATTTTAATATTTATATAGCGCCAACAAATTCCGTAACGCTGTACAATGGGTGGACTAACAGACACATAATTGAGATCAGACCACTGGACGTACAGGAACAAAGGGGGTTGAGGGCCCTGCTCGATGAGCTTACATGCTAGAGGGAGTGGGGTATAGTGACACAAAGGGTTAAAGTAGGGGAATTACATAGTTTGTTAGAGAAGGGTTTATTGAGTGCTTGGTAGGTCATTTTTGACACTTGCAGGAAAGGAGTCATGGGGTGGGGGATGAGAAACCTGCTGACAGTTTAATTGATACGCTTTAATGAAGAAGTAAGTTTTCAAAGATTTTTTGAAGGAGTGAAGGCTGGGTGAAAGTCTGATTGAGGAGGGAAGGGAGTTCCACAGAATAGGTGCAGCCCTGGAGAAGTCTTGAAGGCTGGGGCTCAGGGCAGAGGATAGGAATAGATCTTGGGCTGAGCGCAGGGGTCTCGACGGGACATACTTGTGTATGAGGGAGGATAGGTATGTTGGAGCAGCATTATGTAGGGATTTGTAAGCAAGCGACAGAATTTTGAATTGGGCCCTATATCTTACTGGAAGAGCGTGGAGGCGTGGGAGATGCGACCGGACAGGAAAATAAGCCTCGCAGCAGCATTCATTATAGATTGCAGCGGTGAAAGCTGGGAACATGTAAGACTGGTGAGAAGGGGATTGCAGTAGTCAAGGCGAGAGAGAACAACAGCATGAACCAGTACCTTTGCCGCGTCAGGCGTTAGACATGGGCGGATGCGCGCTATGTTCTTGAGTTGGAAGCAACAGGATTTGGCTATTGATTGGACATGGGGAGTAAAAGAGAGATCAGAATCAAAAAGAACCCCTAGGCAGCGAGCCTGCGAGGTAGAGGTGATAGTAGCACTGTTGACTTGGATGGAGAAAGACACAGTAGTAGCAGCACTTGAGGGAGGAAAAACTAGAATTTCTGTTTTGGACAGGTTGAGTTTAACGAAGTGAGCAGCCATCCAAATAGCAGAGAGGCAGTCAGAAACACGAGTCAAGGTGGGAGGAGAGAGATCAGGGGAGGACAGGTAGATTTGCGTGTCATCTGCAAGTAAATGATATTGGAAGCCAAAGGAGCTGATGAGTTTACCAAGGGAGGCAGTATAGATAGAGAACAGTAGGGGGCCGAGGAGAGAACCTTGGGGGACATCCAGACAAAGGGGTTGGGGAGAAGAGGCAGAGCCAGAGAAAGAAACACTGAAAGAGCGCTGGGAGAGGTAGGAGGAGCACCAGGAGAGCGCAGTATCCCGTAGACCAAAGTTACGGAGAATGTGAAAAAGCTGTTGATGATCAACAGTGTCAAAGGCGGCAGAAAGATCAAGGAGGATTAGGATAGAGTATTAGGGCAGCTCTACAACATATCGACTGGCATAAACTCCTTAGTCATAAAAACACTGAGGATAAATGGAAACTATTCAAACAAATATTAGAAAGGTACATTTCTCAGTATGTACCATTGGGTAATAAATATAAAAGAAACAAATTAAAATCAATGTGGCTTAGTAGAGAAGTAAAACAAGTGATTAAAAATAAGAAAATGCCTTTTTAAGCATTTAAATTGGACAAAAGAGGCATCCTATATAAGATATAAGGAAGCCAATAACACTTGCAAAAAGGCAATTAAAGTGGCTAAACTAGAAAATAATAAATTGATAGCCAAAGAATGCAAATCCAAGTACATGAATTCTAAAAAAACAAAAAATGAAAGTGTAGGTACATTGGAAACAGAGTTGGGTTTGTTAGCTAATGAAGACCAGGAAAAACATTTTTTTTAACTAACTATTTTTCTTCTGTATATATTAATGAGGATCCTATGGCAAGAGATATGAAAATGATTGCTGCAAAAAACTTGCAGATAACTTGTGATTGGATAACTCGAGACAAGGTGCTACAGCTATTAAAGAAAATTAATGTAAATAAAGCTACAGGGCCTGATGGTATTCACCCACGAGTACTTAAGGAGCTAAGTGGGGAAATAAGTGAATCTCTGTATTTCATTTTTCAAGATTCTTTTCTTTCAGGTATTGTACCAGAGGATTGAAGGAAGGCAGGTGTTGTTCCTATATTTAAAAATGGTTCAAAATCCTTGCCTGGAAACTATAGACCTGTAAGCTTAACTTCTGTAACTGGGAAAATATTTTAAGGGCTATTAAGGGATAGTATTCAGGAATTCATTGGGAAAAACTTTGTTATTAGCAATTATCAGCATGGTTTTATGAAACATAGGTCATGTCAAATTAACCTAATTGCATTCTACAAAGAAGTAAGTAGAAGTATAGATCAGGGTGTTGCAGTGGATGTGATCTACTTGGAGTTTGCCAAGGCATTTGATACAGTTCCTCACAAAAGGTTAGTCTTCAAACTAAAAGAAATTGGTCTAGATGAATCTTCTTGTTCTTGGGTAGAACATTGGCTTAAGGACAGAGTACAATGAGTTGTCATTAATGATAAATTTTCAGGCTGGACAAAAGTGGTAAGTGGTGTCCCTCAGGGTTCTGTTTTGGGACCGCTTCTATTTAACATATTTATAAATGATCTTGCAATAGGCATTGAAAGCCACGAATAAGTGTTTGCAGATGACACAAAACTTTGTAAAGTAATAAAATGTGAGCAGGATATTGCTTTGCTACAGAGGGATTTGGATAGATTGAGGGACTGGGCACTAAAATGGCAGATGAAATTTAATGTAGAGAAATGCAAAGTTATGCACTTCGGGGATAAGAATGCACGATCAATTTACACCCTAAATGGTAGTGAACTAGGGATAACCACACACAAGAAGGATTTTTGAATTTGTATATACAACAAATTAGGCAGCAATATGCAATGTCAATCTGCAGTTGCTAAGGCCAGTAAGGTTTTGTCATGTATAAATAGGGGCATAAATTCTTGGGATGAAAATATAATTTTGCCTCTTTATAAATTGCTGGTATGACCACACCTTGAATATGCTGTGCAATTTTGGGCACCTGTTCTAAAGAAAGATATAATGGCAGTAGAAAAAGTGCAGAGTCGAGCTACAAAATTGATAAAAGGAATGGAGCATTTTAGTTATGAAGAAAGGTTAAAAAAATTAAATCTGTTTAGTTTGGAAAAACGGCATCTGAGAGGGGATATAATAACATTATACAAATATATTCGGGGCCAGTACAAACCTTTAACTGGAAATCTATTCATAAACATGGCTATACATAGGACACAAGGTCACACATTTTGGCTGGAAGAAAGGAGATTTCATCTAAGACAAAGAAAAGTTTTTTTAACAGTAAGAGCAATAAGGATATGGAATTCTCTGCCTGAAGAGGTGGTTTTGTCAGAGTCATTACAGATGTTTAAACTGCAATTGGATCAATACTTACAAAAACATAACATACAGGGATACAGTTTCTAATTAGTGATGTAAGAGTTGCTTGATCCAAGGAGACATCTGACTGCTATTTTGGGGTCAAGAAGGAATTTTTTCCTAGTTTGTTGCAAAATTGGAAGTGCTTCAGACTAGGTTTTTTGCCTTCTTTTGGATCAACAGCAAAAACATATGTGAGGAAGGCTGAACTTGATGGATGCAAGTCTCTTTTCAGCTATGTAACTATGTATATTGATTTTGAATCAAAGTATTTAAATAGCCTACCTCAGACCCTCCTATGTTTTAGTTTATTTTTCGATTACTCTGCAGTTAATATTTACATTTTATTGTATGGTCATTGAATATAATCAGTATAAAAATGCCAACATTCACAATTAACCCTATTCAATTATACTATTAATTTATTTTCATTCAGCTGCACATTTGGTGAAGGTCTAGAGAATACTATTGTAAAGTGTACCTACTCTTTAATAGGGGACCGTTTAAATTTAATTTTCAGGGTGGAGCCTGACCTCCAAGCAAGTGGCATGCCAGAGCTCCCGACTAACTGGTTGAAATAAACCCTTACACCCGGCAAAAAACAACTAATACACAAGCCTAACAGTATCAGCAGGACGGGGAACCCAGACAAGCAGACCGATACCAGACTCGGGTGTTTATTTTGTCGAGTACCTGGGAACCCTGCTACCCGGTAGCGGAGCTGAGTGGAAGCGGCCAATTTTCTCGTGCTCTTGTGACGAAGCCAGTGGCACTCCTACGCCCCCCCTCCTGTGGACCAGTGGGGGTCATCCCGGTCCCTCTTAAGTGACTCAAAGACTTGCCCAAACCAACTTCTCCAGGCCACGTTGCCTCGATTGGTGATCCAAAATGGCAGAGCTCTGCCCCTTGCAGCCACATAACAAGGACCTCAAGTGAAAAGCAATGCATGACTCCACAGCAGATTCCCTGAGGAGACTTGATGATGATGACTCTTCCAAAACTTCTGACAGACTCTGCAGTGCAGACCCTCCACCACCACCGTTTACAAAGTACAAGGGGAGAGGGAAGCCTGGCAACGGCAGGTGAGGGTGCCTACTACAAGAACCACACAGAGTGGAAAACCCGCCCGTCCCCAGCGCATACAGATGTGAGGCCTAGTGCACGCCGCCTACCCAAGTCGAGAGCGGCGGAGGCTGTACATCGAAAGCTCCAAGCAAGGAAACGCCGGGGGGCAAGACGGCACACGAGACCCGAACAACCAACCCATAAAGCCCACCATCGTATCCCACTAGGGACAAGCATAAACCCTGCCAGATCACAGATCTCTGTGAAACCAGAACCTACTAGCCTGCAAATCTTGAGCCGGGACAGCTCCTTCTCTATGCTCCGCATTGTATGCACTCCCAAGACCAACATGAGGTGTGTGGGGAGGGAAGCAAGACAGAAAGGATAGCAATTTATCTCAGGGAATCTACAGCTGATGCTATTGGCACTGGACCAGATACCTGGAGATCTCGGCTGGCACTGCATCGTATCCATGACTGGAGTAGGCTGACCGCATGGCTGAAATTCTTAGTGTTAAGTCAATACACTGCCTATGGATCTCTGTAGCTAACAATCCACCATTAGTGTCTGTTTATTAATATCCTCTAGTTAAGCAAAACGGACTGTCTGTTGTAATGCAGGATAAGCCTGGGGTGGTATACATTCTTAAAGTTTCCTTCATGTAGATCTAGCCTGACTACATCATCGTTATTTTTTCATGTATTCCCAGCCTGTTTATATAAGTCTACTCAGGCATACCTCACTCGACTATCTTCATATAAAAATCTTGTGCTGTTTCTCTCAAATGCCATGACATCTTACAAACATCAACACACGATTATATACATGTCTCTGTTCATACTTTTATTACCTCAATAGTTTACCCCCCAAATAATGCAATGTAGTCTCACTCCCCTGATGTGATAAATTTTACAGGGGTTTATTGGCAGTACATTCCCTGAGTTTAACTGTTGAGATGGTTAAGCACAATGTCATATTCAGACAGAACCAAGGGTGAATATCAAGTCCTCAGCCACCCCCACGCCAGGTGGGTTTGACCACCCGAGTAATCTCCAACTTGTAATACTTACAGCTCAAATCACACAAAAGTTTAGTCTGGTTCACTTCAGTGGTATCCCTGAGTATATGGCAACGCACAAGCAATTAGGGCTGGCCCACCTGCCTCGCCAAATATAGCTCAATGCTAAGCATCTTGTTTTCTTTTGTTGGTTTTCTCATATTTACTCCATACAATCTCTGCCAGAGTATAGATCGCGCCTGTTTGTCAGATAATTTTGTAAGTTAAATCTCTAGGCACTGTGTAATATGTTTTTTGTTCTTAGTTTCTTTTACCTAAAAAAAAATGCAGTACTATCGACATGTACAATATGCTATTTGTTGACAATTTGAAATGTTATATTCAAATATGTCCTGTCTATATGTTAAATTGACAATGCACTACAAAAATAAGGAATTTAAAAAAAAATAATACATTTAGAACAGCCGAGTCACCGTCAATAGAGCCAGTATACATGTGCGGTGGAAACCTGAAAAATAAAACAACAATGCTGTACAGGTCTATTTAAATATGTTGCATCATATTCTGGGAGATCTTGAAAAAATGTCTTTGCCCATATAAGGTAATACTTAAATCATTGGAGAATTTAATTACACATTAGACATTCATTTTGTTCCAGACTGCAATTCGTCCGAACTGATCATTGTGTAATCAACCAACAACAAGCAATTCACACAATGCCTGAACATGCTCATTTTCAGTCATCATTCAAAGTGCCATTAATAGCAAAAAAAAGGGAAATGGAGGACAAGTAGTTTTATTTTTATTTTTTGGTAGTAGCAAATAAGAAGCTTAATTTAACATGATTATTAAAAGGCCTGCCCAGTCATGTGAGCAGGAACTCCTGTCAAATCAAGAGATGTAAATGTTTATTGCATTCACAGATAAAGTGACAACTGACCAATACAGAGGAAAAAGGGAAGAACAGTAAAACAATCTAGAATTCCAAGCAGGAGTTTTCAAGACACTTTGACTGTAACTGTTGAGGAAGATGTAAATATGATTTACATTAGCTGGGCCTGTTTGGAAAGGGAAGATAGCCCAGGTCACTGATTCTAGCATGAGGTCACTGATTCAAGTATGAGACTAGATTTACCCCACTGCTGTATTTGGGAAGAGGTACACTAGGGATCAGAACATGGGAGAGGTCCTTAAAATCCTGAAGATATGTAGTAGAGGGAGGAAGAGAAAAAAAAATATATATAGTGTAGTACATCAAGAACTTCAGTTTGGAAAGAAAAAAGAAAATACACTTACACTGTAAGGAGCTAACTCTTAGCTCCACTTGTAGCGATTGGGCATATAAGTCTTTTTTTCTTTTATCTTGGTCTAACACAGTAGATGTACAGCATAAAATGAAATAAAACATCAAAATAGTATAGTGTGTTAAAAGATCAAATTAGATGGTAAATATAATACAATTACACACACATAAAGGGGCCTCCAGTTAACTGCTTTTTTTGTAGTGCTTGAAGTGGAATTATCCCCACTCTAGGATATATGTTCAAGAATCTTTCTCTGATACAAGTAGATAAGATTCTCTCCATAGATATAAAACAGGAAATAAAATATGGTGCTCACTGTATATAAAAAAAATTGTTAAAACAATAGGAAAAGTACTCACATTTTTAAAACTATTATAAAAAACAATAAACTAAGGAGACAGTATACAAACGTGTTTCACCTAAGCTGTAGGCTTCTTCAAATGTGTTTTTTACTGCTGTATTCACCTATCTTACTATTATGAGTGGTACTTGAAAGAGCGTGAGTAGGAGACAGCAGCCACAAGAGGTGCCTCCTGTGTCAATCCTGCACAGTGTGCAGCACTGGCATTCAGCATTCCCACACTTTGCATGGAGGCACTGAATATTCTCCATAGAGGGAAAGACTCTGAAAATTCCCCATAGCTATGTATTTCAGCTCCAGAGACCTAAACAGCCATACCAGGTCATGTTTTCATTCCTGACACTATAGTGTTCCTTTAAGGTACTGCTGTTTCTATATACCCAGCAGTCAGTGGCACTAAAACAACTTAGAGTTGGACACAGGAGATTGCCAGTGTGTCACTGATCCTAGTATGACACTAGGTTGCCAGTTTATATCACATTTATCACATTTTTGGTTTTTTTTGGTTATTATTTACTATTTGTAGAAATTTTTTTTTTTTTTTTGGTGGGGGAGGTGTATAGTTCAATAAAAAGCAAAACAAAATATTGTATTTTGCCTAGCTACAATGGCACTCATACAAATTTTGAGTGCTAGATAGCATGATATACTGGTGTTTATGATTAGTGCTGTGTCCTACTGCAGGCTGCTGCCACTTAAAACTAACTTACACTTTTTAAAAGTTAATATTTTTGTCATGTGTTTTTGAAAAACAAATCCTTTATTTTTTTAGTATATTTAGTTCACTGTTTTCCATGTAAGTACTTTGCAGTGCATTGTGTGCTGTGTTTAGTGTAGTTTTCATAAAGGACCACTATAGTGCCAGGAAAACATACTCGTTTTCCTGGCACTATAGTGCCCTGAGGGTGCCCCCACCCTCAGGGTCCCCCTCCCACCGGGCTGGATGGAGAAGAAGGGATTAAACTTACCTCTTTCTCCAGTGCCGGGCGGGGAGCTCTCTTCCTCCTCTCCTCCCTCTTCTCCTCCTCTTCGGCTGAATGTGCATGCGCGGCATGAGCTGCACGCGCATTCAGCCAGTCCATAGGAAAACATTCACAATGCTTTCCTATTTACTCTGGCATCTTCTCACTGTGATTTTCACAGTGAGAAACGCGGAAGCCCTCTAGCGGCTGTCAATGAGACAGCCACTAGAGGCTGGATTAACCCTAACATAAACATAGCAGTTTCTCTGAAACTGCTATGTTTATAGAAAAAAGAAAAAAGGGTTTATAGAAAAAAGGGTTAACCCTAGATGGACCAGGCACCCAGACCACCTCATTAAGCTGAAGTGGTCTGGCTGCCTATAGTGGTCCTTTAAAGTCATGCACAATAGCATTACAGTACCAAATACAGAAAGTACCAACCCACTCTGCAAAAACACCTATTTTTTTTAATATAAATAAAGTTCTGCTAATGTACTATTTATTGCAATAAGAAAATCCAACCAGCCATTATCAGGGTCACATACTAATCACAAGAAGGAATTGAGAAAGGGGGTTCCACTGGCAATACAGAACTTTCTACCATAGCTAGTTCAAGCATTATACATTCTTGCCCCACCCCTTCCCTCCCCCCAACAACAACAAAAAAACAGCTAAGGGAGAGCACAGCAGCATTTGCTTTGTGGGGTCATCACAACCACTTAGATTATTTAAAGCAGAGTACCAAAGTAGTGTCCCCAATGTCTTGTATTTGTGATGGTGGCAGTTTTCATCTCATGTCTTGACTTGCTTTTGGTGACAGTGATTAATGTCTTCGTAGTGGCAATAGTGATTAATCTAAATACAGAATGTCCACCACAGTAGACAGAGATTGGTTACCTTTGGCTCGGAAGCTACTCAACCTCTTGAGTATCATGAGGAGAGTATGGAGAGGACATGCAGCAACTTCTACAGCAGCCAGTATGCAATTACTTTAGGCATCGTCTATGCCCTCTCCAAATCCATCTGTATCTGCTTTAGATTTGCTTAATCTAATGGAGAAAATTGCTTCTGCTACCTATGGCACAAGTAGCTCACTTATTGTCATTGTTATCATCACTACCACCACCAGTTTCACCATAATATACATCCTCTGGACCATCACCATCAATATTTCCATTAGCTTTATCAACCAAGTACCAGTGAATAGGATAGAGTTGTGATAGTTTCTACTTCAACCAATGCAAATACATCTGCACATTCAGCAGGCATAATGCAACATGTTGAGTATTACACGAATGAAGCAAAGTGTGGGATCACTTTGAGTGCCCCCAAGAAGACAGACTTGCAAAGTGCCAATTATGTAGCAATGAAATGAGAAGGGGGTAAGTGGAGGGTTATCTCTCTGGTGCTGGTAGGAAACAATATTTGCAAATATACCACAAATCTGTATTACTGAGCATAGAAGGCCAGGCAGCAGGACTACTACTAATAATAATGTGCTATGATGTAAATTCTAGAGTGTTTAGTTAAAACTTTTAAGAAAACAATTTATTTGCAGTTTGTAAACACAGTTGAAGGATAGTGTTTATTTTTCAGTTTCCTTTCACAACTGTTTTGGATACAGTTAAATGAGATCATTTTGCTAAAAATGGAAACTTGTGTAATTAGATACAATCTAGGCATTCATTTGGTGAGGCTAATTGGTGCCA